CCACAGTCGGGGGCCGTAGATAGAAAAAGATCGGTTGCCCCAATTTTTGTAGCGGCAGCGCAGCACCGCCCAGCGACAAATGATCAGCAGAGCTCTACGCGGCACATAGACAGACAGCAGATCAGGTAGGTAGGATGGGGCGAGACCATGAATAACCTTAAAAACAAACAATAGGATCTTAAATTTAATTCTAAATTGGATTGGAAGCCAATGAAGAGCACGAAGAATCGGGGAGATATGGGCAAACCTGGGAGCATTGGACAGCAGCCGAGCTGCTGCATTTTGGACCAATTGTACTTTCTGAAGCAAAGTCTGGGGTACTCCTACATACAAGGCATTGCAATAATCTAACCGTGAAGTAATAAACGCGTGTATAGCCTTCTCCAGGTCTCCATGTGACAAAAAAGGTTTAACCTTCGTTAAGTCTTAGCTGAAAAAAACAGACTTAACCACTGCCCTAATCTGTTTCTCAAAAGTAAAACCACCATCAAAAATTATTCTGAGGTTTTTCACCGTGTCAGATAGAGGGAAGACTGAGGTGCAGAGGTTGACTATATCTACATCAGCACGGGTCAGAACTAAAAAAAAATGTATTCGGTCTTACTCTCGTTCAGATGCAGAAAATTTTGCGCAAGCCATTGCCTAATATCTCGAATGCAATTTTGCAATGGGGTAAGAGCACTGGAGTCAGATAGGAACAGTGGCATGTAAATCTGGACATCATCAGCATTAAAGTGGAAATGAACATTATGGCTAGCTATAATTGCCGCAAGGGGTGCAATATATAATGAGAAGAACAATGGAGCCAGGGTAGAACCTTGAGGAACGCCTGAAATGAGAGAAGCTATATTAGAGACACAATCACCAATACTGAACGAAAAAGTTTGATCGGTTAAAAAAGAAGAAAACCAGTTTAAGGCAGTGCCTTTAAGCCCAACAAAATGTTCAAGTCTCGACAAGAGGATAGAATGATCAACAGTATCGAAAGCTGAAGTTAGATCCAACAAAACTAATAGCATAGGACATTTGGTATCGAGAGCCATAGTGATATCATTATGAATCTTAAGTAATGCTGATTCTGTGCTGTGGCCAGGCTTAAAGCCCAATTGTGCAAATATTGCTGATAAGTTGCAATCTAAGTGTGACTGCAACTGGGTGAATATGATTTTTTCCAGAATTTTGGACAAAAAAGGAAGAAGAGAAATTGGACGAAAAGACGATAATAGAGAGGGATCCAGATTAGGTTTTTTGAGAAGTGCTTGAACTATCGCATGCTTAAGAGCAGTCGGGACCACACTGGCATCCAGAGAGAGATTAATAAACGTGACCAGGGAGGGACCAAGAATATCAAAAACCTCCTTGGAAAACTTGGCAGGAAGCAGGTCAAGGGGTGAAGAGACCGGTTTTAATTGACATAAAGAAATCTAAGTGAAGGAACTAAGATTATGTAAAATGTGGGATCCAGGCTGAGTATGTGCTGGGGGCTTAGGCATATTATGCCTAAGAGCCCCAACCTTATCCCTAAAATATCTTAGAAATTGGTTGCACAGAACAGGCAAACCCTCACTGGGTACTGCACCGACTGGATTAACAACAGAATGTATAGTTTTAAAAAGTACTCTCGGGTTACGACTGTCGCTATAGTGTTAGACAAGAATTGAGTTTTTGCCTCTTTTACAGCCTCCTGATATGTAAGGAGACTGACTATAAAAATATCAAGCGAGACATGCAATCCGTCTTTTTTCCATTTGCTTCGGTTTGCCTGGAGACCATGATCCGGGCACAAGTCAAAGTACCTCAGGGCACGTCGGAGGATTTTGATCCACAGAAGAATAGAATTCAGAGTCTAAAAATGCAGCAGCAAAGTCAGAGGGGGTAGAGGAAGTAATAATCCTGTGATGCAGCTGTGGGGCCACTGGGCCCTTATTGGTAGCGGGACTTAAAAACGAATAAGGAAGTGGTCAGATATGGCTATATTTGCCACATCCTTAATAGTAACAGATAGACCCCGAGAAATGACAAAGTCTAATGTGCCCCCCCCTGTGTGTGAGTGGGACAGACTACTGACTGACTGAGGTCAAAGGAGTCCAACAGAGCATTAAAATCGTTTACAAGCGAGGAGTTAGCTTGAAGATTCAACAGACAATCAGCCTGTGAAGTAAAAGCAGCCAAAAACTCTCCAAGTTCATGGATTTGGGAGTTCGGTAGACGACTGCACATAAAATAGGGCAGTGCAGCAATAAAACAAAAGTTTGAAGCTCGAAGCTAGAAAAGGCCATATAGGGCAAGAGGCAACATTTTAAAGTTGGCTTAAAAACCAGATGCCAGGCCACCACCTTGACCAGCGTGGCGTGGGGAGTTAAAAAATAAATATTTGGCCAGTAAAAGCTCAGAAAACAGATTGTTATCCCCTCGTTGGAGCCAAGATCCCGTGATAAAAAACATATCCAGATCGTGAGTGGTGATAAGATCATTCAAAATGAAAGTTTTGTTATTGAGTGATCTTACATTAAACAGGGCGAACTGGAGCAAGCTAGGCTGGACCTGGGGGCACACAGTGCGGGACACTGAGCAAAGATTAGAGTGAAGAGGCGGGTCGGCATCTAGGCCTACTGGTTGAAGAAAGCGATAGTTGAAGGTAGACGACCATCTCGAGTCGACGTAGCCATGCTCCCAGAGGTATCCCATCCCTTGTGACAGAACAGATTTCAGTTTGACATGCAGTCCTGCTCTCCTGCCACGTCATCTTCGCCGAGGTCTAACTCGTGTCGGATGGAACGAGCGTCGCAGAAAAGGTGGTACAGACGCTAAGAGAGGTGGTGGGGACTTGAATTGCCGACTCCAACAGCAATTTGACCCGGTCATCATCGAGTTTCGTATTTCAAGCAGCATCAGATGATCGTACACCAAAAGAGAGAAAGCAGAGGGGCCATCAAACAATACAAAAAAAAAAAAATACACAGGAGTAGACGGCCGGCCAGATACAGCGGCGCCATCTTGGACCAGCCAGATTAGAAAACTTGACTGGTGTTGGTGAACATTCACAGAGTCTGAGATGCCTGCTCACCAACTGTCACATAAAGACTGAATCACTTGTCTTAACTTGTTCCTCTGTTATATTATAATTACCTCAGCCAAGGGCAGGGGTTACATTTTTTCCCAGCATTTGTTTGTGTGTTTCTTAGTTTGTTAACAGCATAAATCAAAAAGTAAAAAACAAATTTTGATGAAATTTTTGGAGAGGTAGGCTATGGCTCATGGAACAACCGATTCGATTTTGGTGCTGACCCTTCAATAATTTTGATACAAGATTTGTCTAAAAGATTATTCACCATTGTGAGGCCTGCAAAGGTTGACTGTATGTGAGCCCCCTTGTGGCCAATGCATGCAGATGCAGGAGTATTTTGAGGAACTGATGAATGAGGAAAATGAGAGGGAAAGAAGTGGGGAAGAGGTGAATATTGTAGAGCAGGAAGTAGCAAAGATTAGAAAGGATGAGGTGAGGAAGGCTCTGAGGAGAATGAAGAGTGGAAAGGCTGTTGGTCCAGATGACATACCTGTAGAGGTGTGGAAGTGTCTAGGAGAGACAGCAGTGGAGTTTCTATCTAGTTTGTTCAACAGGATTTTAGAGTGTAGATGTTTCCTAGCTTATCAACCCTGTGATATGACACAGTTAGCTTATTAGGTAGCCTACACCAAGGTAAAACTAATGTAGTTTAAACCTGCAGCCATGAAATAAATCTTCCTGCATGAAGGTGATAATGTTCAGATTTTGATTTATTTTTTTTAATTTTGTGAGTTGTTGATTCAGTTGTACAGTAATTTTGAACTCTACTGTTATAAGGTGTTTCTATTTTATCCACTTTGTTCATATCTTTGAGGCAGGGTGAAATAACAGCTCTATGTACAGGATAATGCAGTGCAGTTCAACAGCACCACAAGCTACAGCCTCAGATAAAAATGTTCATACAGTTGAATCAACACCTTTTTAAAACAGTTGGATCAAAAGCTGTGCATTATCACATTCATAAAGGAGGACCTGTTGCAGGACTGTTGTATTAGACTGCATTAATTTTAGTAGAGTCTGAGTCAAGTCTGGAAATGATCAGGTGCAAGTTGCCAGTCAGAAATCTATTTATTTCTGACTCAAGCAACTTGAATAGGAGTCCCCAAGTCAAGTGCCCATCTCTGTGTGATGGCCATCAGTGTTAAGGGCTGAGGTCAAGAAGGCACAGGAGTTCAAGTATTTAGGGTCAACAGTCCAGTGTGATGGGGAGTGTAGGAAAGAGGTGAAGAGGCAAGTGCAGGCATGTTGGAGTGGGTGGAAAAAGGTGTCAGGAGTGTTGTGTGACAGAAGAGTGGCAGGGAGAAACAAAGGAAAGGGG